ATTTTTTGACTCCTCGTTGACTAGCTTATGGCATGGCTCTTTGACCTCAAAGTCCTTGTTTTCAAATTCATCATTCATTGCATTAAAATGAGGACCTGGGGCAGCAGGCAAGAGAAAGTAAAAGTGCACTTCAGACTCTGGGATGAACATATGATCCTGGGGTGCCAGTTTCTCAGAGGTACAACAATAGCAAACAAGATAGCATTCCTGGTTCCCATCTTGGTTGGGAATAGAGTAGGGAGTGAGGGGCAGAGTGTTGCAGCTGAAAGAAGGGGCCTGGGAGAGGAAATGCAGGTGGAGTGTCCAAAACCAAAGAGAAAACTGCCAGTGGTGAATCCTTGGCACTGGAAGCATTCATGTTGCTCTGAGTTGAAGCTTCTAAGAGAGTTCAGTGACTCTTCCCACTAAGGCTGAGAGCCATATTGTGAACAGCTTTCTGGGCTTTGGAGACAGAAAGCTTGCTCTTCCTTTGAACAATTGCAGGGAGTGCCATAAACATGCCTACATCAGAACCAAAATCCATACTTGGCTCCACATGCTTTTCACTTTGTTTACAGCTCTGCTCTATGCTCAGAAAATTCCCTAATGTGCCTCCCCACTTGCCCCCTCCCCAGCCTGGCTAGAACTCTTGACTAGTTTCTCCACAGAGCCTGACTCTGTCTGAGAAAGGTGTCTAACCTGGGACCCGTGTGTGTGTGTGTGTGTGTGTGTGTGTGTGTGTGTGTGTGTGTGTGTGTCAGGCATAATCATTAGCTTACATGGGCACAGAAAGAAATTTCCATTTATAAACAACACAGATAATCATCTAGTCAATTTGTGGCTGGAAGGGAAAGAATCAGGCTGGATGATCTCCAGAAACTCCTACAAATTCTAGTATTTGTAAATCTTAATAGCCTACTAAAACTCCCAATCCCTAGACTGCTCTGGGCCTCAATAAGGCAGAGATTTTCTACTTGTCCTAGAAAGGGAAAAGCATAAGGGACGGGACAAAAGTTTTATATCTTGTTTCCAAGTTTGCTGCAATCCAAATGGTTATTAGCTCAGTTCTTACCTGAAAGGACAGAAGCTAATGACTTTACCTTTGGAAAGCCACCGCAGAGCATAGTCACCCCAGATTATAGTACTGCTCCCCTGGAATCCAGAGTCAAGAGAATAGCATTTGTAGGCATTGGGTGGGGCTCTGACCCATAGTTCCGGTCCAAAGGCATGCCCCCAACCCTAAGCTTCCCACCAGCTCATCAGGTGGGTATCATTTCTAATTTGGTCTCTATGCCTACGTCCAGCTTGGCTTCTAGGTCCAGACAAAAGCTTGAAGGGCCAGCCTTGTACAGTCTGCTGCTCTTGCCACTGAAGCATGTTTGTTTTTGAAGAGATAGGTGATAGGTTCCTCAGGCAGCTAAAATCCACGAAGAACAACAGGTACTTATTTCTCATCTGTGCCTTCCTTTTCTAAGCCACTACACTCTTGGTCATCAAGACTCAGTGGAAGAGATATTGGAATATGCCATCATTGTCTGCTTGCTAATGATGAACTTGTAAGCCAAGATGAGGCAACATTTCTTTAGACAGATGTATACCCCAGGGGTCAACAAACTGTGGGTCATGAACTCTTTCAGTATGTACATGTGGCTCTGAAGTAAAATGGAAATTTTTCCAAGGATATTATTCAGATAGTGGTGATTTCATTTGTTTGTAAAAATATATTTATGACTCCTGAATAATTTTTAAATTATTGTGAGGGACAGGATTGGCTCTTCCATCTCAAAACTTTGCTGACCCTGGTCTACCCCAATTCCTATCAAGTACCTTGGACAGCCCCCAGTTGTAGCAAGAATTGATGAGAACCTTTCCCTAAGGTTGAAAAGTACTATTATTCCTTTGAAGAAGGTAGGACAGATATTATAAATCCTATTGTTTCAGAGAGGTTAACTGATTTGACCAAGATTTCCCCTAGTTTCCGTCACAGACCTGGAGCTTAAGTCAGATCTGACTCCAAAGATAGTACTATTCCATCATACCAGAGCATTGTGTTGAATTTGGGGTTCTAGAGAGCTCCAATAAAATAATAATGTGGAGTCAAAATCCTTGAATTCAACAGAGAACGCCAGAGATGCCTGTTCTCATTCCTTGATGGATTTATCTGTTCTCTTGATTCCCATGAGCTCTGTAGCAAAAGATCGGGATATTTCTTTGTAAATGGCCGTCATCCTTCAAGTCTTGGACAGAAGGATCTTCTTGCATCACTCCCAAACATCAGGCTTCCAAATCAGTTACTTTCAAGTCGATTCCAATTCACAGCAACCCCATGTGTATCAGAATAGAGTGATGTTTTGTATGGTTTATGATGATTTTTTTTCTGAAATAGATCACCAGGCTATTCTTCTGTAATACCTCAGGGTGGACTCAAATGACCAACTTTTGGTTAGCAGCCATGCACATAAACCATTTGCATCATCCAGGCTTCTAGTACCACCGAAACATTTATCCCTCATGCATTTTCATTCATCCAAGAAACCAACAGTTCATCTGCTGCTGTAGAAAAGGTCCTCTGCTGATTATCTTA